TATATATATGTATATATATGATAAATTAGGATTTTAACCAACTATAAAATATGTGAAAGATATCATAATTATTTTGAAACTAATCATGTTATTAATTTTATTTTATTGATTTAATAAGATTTTGGAGGATCGTAGTTAAATATATAGGCGTCGAACTCCACGAGGAGAGATATATAATGAGTTTTATAATGGAGTTGAATATTTCCTTCAATTTGCATACAACAGCCTTGGTCTTCAACCGAATGATTTAATCAGATGTCCTTGTATTAAATGTTTTAATTTACCATTGATGACTCGGGAAATGGTATGGGACCATCTTACTAAGTATGGTTTTATGAATGCTTATTCTATTTGGTGGGCACATGGTGAAACATTTGTGAATTCAACAGATCCATGGTCTGCTACTAATCTAGGAGAATCATCACATAGCCAAGATACACACCATGATGAAACGAATGACTTTCGTGAAATGGTGTATGATGAATTTTGTCCAGAGGATGATGATAATTGAGAAATGGAAGGTAATTTCCCCAATCAACATATGGATGAGGACCAAACAATCAAGTAAAGGCATTTTATGACTTGCTTCATGCATCTACAATTCCACTTGGTAGTGCTAAAAGAAATGAGACAATACTTAGCTGACTTTCCTATATGTTGCATACAAAGACTGCAAATAATATAACTGCTAATGGTTTTAATGCCATTCTCAAAGGATGTAGAAGGTTGTTAAGTGCTGAAAATCAAGAAAAAGTTCCTTCAAACTCTTATGAAGTAAAAAAATATATGAAGGGGATTGGGTTAGGTTATCTAAAAATTAATGCTTGTGTTAACAACTACTTTTTATACTATAGGAAGCATACGAAAACATTGACTACATGTCCAATTTGTGGAGAAGCAAGGTATAAACAGAGAAATCCAAGAAGGAATAGACAAAAGGACATTCTGAGGAATTCTCTTTGGTACTTGCCAATAATACCTCGCCTTCAGAGGCTATACATGTCTCAAAAAATAGCTGAGCACTTGACATGGCATTTGAAATGTTGTGGTGATACAGATGAGGTCATTCATCCAACACAATCAGAAGCATGGAGACATTTTGATCAAATGCATCCTTCTTTTAAAAGAAAACCTCGTAATGTTTGATTACGTCTTGCTATTGATGGTTTTAACCCATGGGCTCATTCTTCAACCTCCTACTCTTATTGGCCAGTTTTTTTGATTGTTTATAATTTGCCACCAGAGATGTGCATGCAACCAGAGTTTACTTTTCTTACATTGGTCATTGCAGGTCCAAAAAGCCCAGGTAAAAATATCGATGTTTTCCTTCGACCTTTAATTGAAGATTTAAAAATGTTATGGTCGATTGGTGTAGAAACATATGATAGTTATCATAAGCAAAACTTCATAAAGCGGGCTATGTTGATGTGGACCATAACTGATTTTCCGGGTTATGGTATGGTGGCTGGTTGGAGCACTCATAGCCAATTGTCATGTCCTTACTATATGGAGATGACACAATCTTTTTATCTTCAAAATGGTCGAAAACCATGTTTTTTTGATTGTCATTGTCAGTTTTTATCGGAATCACATTCTTTTAGATTTGATCAGAGTAATTTCTTGAAGGGTTAGGTTGAATTAGGCAGTCCCCCTCCTTGATTGGATGGTGTTTCAATGCGTCACTGAGTTGAAAACCTTCCTGATGTGTTGTTTGGGAAACCCTTTGAAAACCAAACAAGTGAGGGTTTTGGAAACATCCATAATTGAGTGAAAAGGTGCATTTTTTGGGAACTTCCTTATTGGCATGATAATCTTATTCGACATAATCTTGATATAATGCACTGTGAGAAAAATTTCTTTGATAATATAATACACATTGATTCGACATAATCTTGATGTAATACACTGTGAGAAAAATTTCTTTGATAATATAATACACACTGATTCGACATAATCTTGATGTAATGCACTGTGAGAACAATTTCTTTGATAATATAATACACACTGTTATGAATGACAATAAGACAAAAGACAATGGGAAAACAAGATTGGATTTAGCCATTTATTGTGACCAAAGAAAACTGCACATGGGATATAATACACATGGTAAGCTTGTGAAACCTAATGCTAGTTATGCACTGACATCTGAAAAACAAAAGCTTTTATGTGCATGGCTAAAACAGTTGCGCTTTTCAGATAAGTTTGCTTCCAACATATCAAGATGTGTCAACTTGAATGAGTCCAGGTTATTTGGGATGAAAAGTCATGATTGTCATGTTTTCATGCAACAACTAATTCCAGTTGCTTTTCGCGGTTTATAACCATCTGTTATTTGGGGTCCTTTAATCGACATTAGTAACTTCTTTCATTCACTTTGTTCCCCGATCATTAAAGTTACTGAGATGTAGAAGTGGGAGGCAAAAATTGTTGAAATAATTTATAAGTTAGAAATAATATTTGCCCCAGCATTCTTTGATTCTATGGAACATCTAGCAATTCATCTTCCATATGAAGCTAGAGTTGGTGGTCCTGTTCAATTTCGTTGGATGTACCCATTTGAAAAGTAAAACATACAAAGAAATTGATAATTTTAAAACTTGCTTTTGATTACTTTTTTTAAAATTAATCTTATCAATATTTCTTTTCAGGCGCATGTGCAAACTTAAGAGTACCATAGGGAATAAAAATCATGTCGAGGCATCAATTGTTGAGGCATCAATTGTTGAGGCATTTATATTATACGAGATATCCCACTTCTGCTCTCGTTATTTTGGGGATGATGTTGAGACAAGCTGGAATCAGCATCCAAGGAACTATGGTGGCATTGGAACCAACGTCCCAAGTAAGTTATCTGTATTTTGTTCCCCTGGTGAATCAATAGGTGCCCACTCACATACACAATGTTTAACATTGGAGGAGAAAGATGCAACTGAACTATATGCATTGCTAAATTGCAAGGAGGTTGATGTTTGAGTAATGTAAGTTTTACTTCTTAGGAAAATAAGAACTACACGATGTTTAATAGCCTATATGATTTTTATAACGTTTTAATTAATAAATAAATGTTATTTTAAAGTAAATTTGAGGAAGAAGTTGGTGCAAATGTATCATATGAACAACTACAAAAATTGCAAACAAATAATTTTGTTCAATGGTTTAAAAATATGGTAATAAATTGTTATATATTATTTTCTCAAATTTTTAATTAAATATTAAATATTACTAAATTAATTTTTTTTTTCAAATATAGGTGTTTAGTGGACAATATGAAATCAATGAACAACTTATCCACCTTGCACTTGGCCCAATCTTTGAAGTGAATGTTTATAATGGGTTCTATGTGAACGGCTTTAGATTTTTGACTGAAGAGTTTACTAGTAATAGAAAGACATATAACTGTGGTGTTTGTATTAAAGGAACCACCATTAATTCTGCAGATGAAATTGATTATTATGGTGTCTTAAAAGAGGTGATCAAGTTATTATATTATGGACACTCAGGCCATCAAGAGACTATAATATTGTTTAATTTTGATTGGTATGACACAGACCAAGGAATACGTGTCAATGTTGAACATGGAATTGTTGATGTCAATCCAAGGTTTAAACTTTCAATGACGGAGCCATTTTGCCTTGCTGGTCAAGCACAACAAGTTTATTATACTCCATATTCGGCAACCACAGATAGAACTACCCGGGGATGGTTGGCAGCATGCAAAATCAAATCTAGACATCTAATTGAGACCTCATCTACCTCATCTTCAGGAGAGGTTGATGATATTTTTCAAGATGATGACCCCTCCATAATGCAAGGTTCTTCATTTGCTATAGATTTAACTGCATACCAATCACTTCAACTATGTGCAGAAGGTGTTACAGAGTTGAGGTTGATGCTACATCTAAAGAAGAGGAGGACTATGGAGAAGAAAAAGATTCAGAATCCTCAGGAAATAGTGATAATGTTGAGGATGATGATGATAGTAATGATTAATTGAAACATTTGTATAATTACTTATTAAATATATGTATTAAAATTTCTTTATCTTATATATATTGTTTTATCAAGTTATATATTTTTCATTTAAAATAGAATCATTGTATGATTGTTCTAAATTTGTTACTCATTATTTGCATAAATGTATTAATAACTATTTTGTTAGTCATTTTTCAGGATGTCTGGAAATCCTGCAGGTTCAGCAAGGAGGAGATCTTCCTCCTCAGGATCACAAGAGCAGCACAATTTTAATCATCCATAGCTGTTTATTGATAATGGCGTAGCTTCGGATATACAACAAACGATTGATCCATTAATGGATTATAATTTTGCACTTGATCATGAGAACGAGGGCCCTTCATCCTCGATGGGAAAAAAAGGACGAAGCAGGAATTTAAAAGGAATACGCCCTCTAAAAAATAGAGAGATTAGGAAATGGGTTAAACTCACTGATGATAAGCTCCAGTTTGCTGATCCAAACATCCCTCGAGCTATCACTTCACTATGGAAGTCGCATTTTGATGGCTCGTATTTCACATACAAGCGTGTCCCCCAAAACAAGATTGCTAAAATTTATAATTGTTTCAAGGTAAGATTAAGTTTTAGCAAATTTAATAAAATGAATGGATTTAGCGATTTCTAATAAAAATAAATAATTTAATTACTAAACTAGAATTTGCATTTCTCAAACATCTAATGTTATTTATTTCTTATTTTGCAGACACTTTACCAATGGGATCCTACAGATAATCGCCATGTGCGAGATGCATTCCTAAATTGTATGAAACATAGATGGAGTGACAATATCAGGGATGAGAAGTTGAAATGGGACAAGAACTCAACCTATGTCCCATGTTGGATCCCAACTCATATATGGCCTCAGCTGCTGACATATTGGGACTCTAATGAATATAAGAGGCTCAGTGCAACGGGAGCAGAGAATAGGAGCTCTGAGGAAAGGGTGACTCACACCATTGGGTCCATTAGCTTTGGCATCCATGAGATGCGGATGGTAATCAAGCTTAATTAATAAAAAATTTAATATATTAAATTTTATTTAACAATAAATTATGTCAATTTATACTAACCAATATATTGCATTATCAATATTTTGAAATATAGATTGAGTCTAAAGGTGGTGTGCAACCTCCCCATTAGGAGAAATTCAAGGAGACGCACACCTTCAGAAAAAAGGCGGGAAAGGATCAAGAGCCACCGTGGATCAATGAAAAACCAAAGTATCGATATGTAAGTATATATAACATATAAATTAGCATAAAATGTATAGTTATAAGTGTCAAAAAATTTTATGTAATTAATCTAAATTATTTAGCAAAGTCTTCTTTTTTTTATAGATTCTTTTCAAACTACTTTTGACAACATTATTACTATTACCATTATTTTTTCAAGGTACTTATGTTGCAGAGTGCACAGAGAGTCATGGCTCTGATGCTAGTTCATGGCCATGCATGGATAACGAGGCATGGGTTAAGGCTATTGGAGGTTGCTCATCTAAGGTCATGCTAGGGATTGGCTCCCAAGTAAATCCAAAGATGGTTGGTTTTACTTACAAGAAGAGACAGCCCCAAGAAAACTTAATAGCAGCACTGATGGCGTCTAACTATGAGGAGATACAGGCAAAAGATCATGAGGAGTTAGAAAGACAACGCCAACAAATTGCTTTGATGCAACAGCAGCTAGCCAATATGACAAAAGCTTAGAACAATATGAGCCAGACAATCGCACAGTCTGTTGTAGTAGCTCTAGCCACTCATGGCATCTCCCTTTAAGCAAGTCATCATCCAGTTGCCCCACCACAACCATCACAGGGTCCTGGCTCAGGTCTTCACATAAATTCAGCTTTCACCTACTCCACTGATTCTACACAAATCTCTCCTATGGTCCCTGAATATCAACAGCAGCGGCAATTTCCGCCTCAAGATGATGATGCATACCATCCTACTTTTGATCTAGACTATCAGGGTCCTTAGTTTTTTATTTTTCTGCTACACACATTATCTGCACACTTTGCATGGTTGGCTTTATTTCTATCAGTACTTTAAACTGTTAGCTTTAGCTTTTTATTACGATATATTTTCTTATTTTGCTTGACCTCTAGTGATCATACTTCAAAAGGTATGAAATTTTGGACTGCTTTGGAGGTTAATTATCATTAACTAAATATCGTGGGTAGTTAAAACAATGGTGTGTGATTGCCATATATACTTTGTGGTTGTGGTTGTAGTTGTGGTTGTGGTTATGGTTATGGTTGAAAAGGTATAATTGTTTTTAGCATACTAGACTTGTAGAATATATGTGTTTCTCATTGCAAACGCAAGTAAAAAAAATTGGTTTTGATCATATGTATGGGGAAACTCTGTCAAATTTTTTTTAGAATTTATACCAACTAAAATGACCAAATTGCAAAAAATCTATTGAATAAATTTCAAATTATTACATTTTTTATCATAAAGTTGTAGTATTGCAAATGCAGATTTAAAAAAAAAATACCTTTTATCATATATACGGGGGAATTTTGATAATTTTTTTTTAAATTTATGTCCACTAAAATGTAAGAAATCTGTTACATAAATTCAGAAAATGGCATGAAAATGAAATCTGGAGAGGAAGCTGTTGAATTGTTACCGACCATACTAGAAATGTACTCCTAGTCGGTAAAATGAAATTTCCCACTTGCATCTTGTCGGTAAAGTCGCAAAAAAAATACCAACAGGAAGCTGGTCGATAATTTGGGCGCGGATTGCAAAAATTTTCATTTTTGGGTTCCCGCTCTCAGTCACTTGCCCATGTGATCTTTGTCGGTGAAACTAATACCGACTAACCACACATGGGTAAGTTGCCATATATATACCCCCCACCACTCTACCCGGCTTATTTCTTCTTGTCTTCCCTCTTATTCTTTTTCTTCTTGTTCTTCTTTTTCTTCTCCTCTCCGGCTATTGCCTCCTCTTTTTCTTCCATTCAATGCTGCTGGATTAATTGTTTATATATGTTTATAATTACATTATTGATATAACTTTAGGTTTATATTTTTTCAATCTCCTTTCTTTTAATTTTCTCTTTCATTGTTTCTCCCTATTTGATTAAATATTAATTTGCGTTATTTATTTGTTTTCCAGGAAACATTAGGAGATAATCATTGGGGTAAGTAAATTTTCTTTGTGTAAATTTTATTTATATAAGCCATTAGAGATATTAGGGTTAAAATTAATTATAGATAAATACTAACTTAATTTATGTTTTTTTATTTTCTTAGGAAATGGTGTTTTGCAAATCTTTATCTATCGAGCTAATCTTTAATTAATTTTTTAGGTTATCTAGTTGTATTTTAACTTTGTCATTTTATTCTTTTTTTTTTTT